ATATATATATATATATATATATATATATATATATACATACATACACATTTTTTTTTTGACCTGGAATATGTTCAAAGTATTGAAATGGGTAAAGTTATAAACAATATACTATGAACCCATTAAAAATATATTTCAGGGATTGGCTGGGTGTGGTGGCTCACGCCTATGATCCCAGCACTTTGGGAGGCCAGCCAAGGTAGGCAAATCACCTGAGGTCAGGAGTTCAAGACCAGTCTGGACAACATGACAAAACCTCATCTGTACTAAAAATACAAAAATTAGCCAGGCGTGGTGGAGGGTGCCTGTAATCCCAGCTACTCAGGAGGCTGAAACAGGAGAATCACTTGAACCCAGGAGACAGAGGTTGCAGTTAGTCGAGAGCATACCACTGTACTCCAGCCTGGGTGACAGAGCAAGACCCTGTCTCAAACAAAAAGCGCACACACACACACATACACACACACACACACAGAAAGAGAGAGAGAGAGTGAGTTCATGGAAAATTTCAGAAAGGTTCTACATCAAACTGGTAAAGTTTATGTTATATATATTTCACTATAATGAAAGAATGTAACTGGCTATCTCTGGATGCTGTATTTTTATTATTTATTTGTATTTTTTAGTTTTTTTTGGCAATGAATATGTTACAAGTAAAAGAATGATTACAAATAAAAGGAAATATAAAAAATTAAGTCTGATGCTTTTTTAAAGGCCATCTGATTCACTCCTAACTGCAGCTTTCTCTTCATCCACCCATCCACTGGAGCCGGCTTTCTGGGTCACTTTTTAATGTGCATCCTTTAAGGCAACCACGATGCTGGGCTGGAAGCTAGGAGAGCCCCACTATAATAGGGTAGGGAGCCAGGCTAGGAATAGGAAACAGTAAGAATATGAAATAGGATGAGCATTTGAGGACCCTCTTAAAAATGGAAAAAAAAAAAAAAGGCTTTTTGCATTCCAAAAATGATGCAGAAAGTCAAGTCTCAGGAGGAAGGTTTGGTCTTAACAGTGAAATCTGGAAAAGATACAGGAAGTGCAATACTTGAACGATAACCTGCAAAGATTTCTTTTGGCTGGCAACATTCAGTAGATACAGCTGTTTCGGTGGTTATTTTTGTAGATTAACATGGACCAAAATATGGCATCATCTCACTGGGCGCATTCACTTCCCAACAGTTCCAGAACGTGGCACTAGATCTGTCCTTGCTGCCTTCTAACTATTCAAAGCAGACTCTGTATCAGGCTTTCTAGCTTCTGAAATAAAGGCACAGGAATTACAGGGAAGCAAAGTGAGTGATCTGGGCATGGAGGGCTTTTCTTCCATATCTGTGCAGTTTGGAAAATTGCCATCCATTCAGGTTTCACTCAAACCCAATTTTCCAGACCCCAGAACAAATTGTAGCCAGAAGCTCTGTTCTTCGTCAAGAGGCAATTACACCCCAGACTTAGCCAGGATCTTGCCCTCTTTCCTTAAAGAACAACTTTTCTCTGTATAGGTATCCTGGCTCTCCTTTTACCCAGGGGGTTGGGATACAGCCTCTAGTTCTCTAGAAAGACCCCAACTGTCCCAGGGTTTCCATTTTGTTTTTGACCATTGCACAGGTCTCTGAATATCACACCTTCCTAACATCAGTGACTGAAATGTCTTACAGCCTTTCCTCATTTTTGTTTCTCTTTAGCTAAAGAAAGCAAAAATAAATAATCCCCATCTCCATTGTTGGAGATCCCAGGCAATTAACCTTTTGAGGAGCTTCACACAAGTTAGAGATCCCACATGGGTTGGCAGAGTTTAACCCCTTGCCCAGAAAGTTAAGGTTAGGAAGCTTGGTTCCTGTTTTCTGTTCAAATACTGCTTTCCTTTTTGAGATGGAGTCTCACCCTGTCACCCAGGCTGGAGTATAGTGGTACGATCTTGGCTCACTGCAACCTCCGCCTCCCGGGTTTAAGCAATTCTCCTGCCTCAGCCTCCCGAGTAGCTGGGATTACAGGCATGTGCCACCACACCCAGCTAATTTTTGTATTTTTAGTAAAGACAGGGTTTCACCATGTTGGTCAGGCTGGTCTCGAACTCCTGACCTCAGGTTATCTGCCCTCCTTGGCCTCCCAAAGTGCTGGGATTACATGAGTGAGCCACTGCGCCTGGTGAGATTAACTTTCTTTTAAGGCACAGAATCACTTCTAGGCCGGGCGCAGTGGCTCAAGCCTGTAATCCCAGCACTTTGGGAAGCTGAGGCGGGTGGAATAGGAGGTCAAGAGATCGAGAGAATCCTGGTCAACATGGTGAAACCCCGTCTCTACTAAAAATACAAAAAATTAGCTGGGCATGGTGGCACGTGCCTGTAACCCCAGCTACTTAGGAGGCTGAGGCAGGAGAATTGCCTGAACCCAGGAGGCAGAGGTTGTGGTGAGCTGAGATCGCGCTATTGCACTCCAGCCTGGGTAACAAGAGCAAAACTCCGTCTCAAAAAAAAAAAAAAAAAAAAAAAAAATCCCTTGTTTGATAGAAACTTCAAAATAATCCTGTTGACTACAAACAGGATAGTGCAACTCATATATATATATATATATATATATATATATATATACATTTTTTTTTTTTTAAGACGGGGTTTCACCATGTTGGTCAGGCTGGTCTTGAGCTCCCGACCTCAGGTGATCCGCCCGCCTTGGCCTCCAAAGTGCTTGGATTACAGGCATGAGCCACCACGCGTGGCCAGTGCAACTCATATATTTTGAATTTGGTGGTGACTGCATGGCTGTAAATGGGTTTCAGAACATAAAACTAGCCACTAAAAAGGCTGATTTTTTTTGGAGGCAGAGTCGGCTCTGTCGCCCAGGCTGGAGTACAGTGGTATGATCTCTGCTTACTGCAACCTCTACCTCCTGGGTTCAAGTGGCATGCGCCACCACACCTGGCTAATTTTTTTTTTTTTTTTTTTTTTTTTGAGACAGAGTTTCGCTCTTGTTACCCAGGCTGGAGTGCAATGGCGTGATCTCGGCTCACCGCAACCTCCGCCTCCTGGCTTCAGGCAATTCTCCTGCCTCAGCCTCCTGAGTAGCTCGGATTACAGGCATGCCCCACCATGCCCAGCTAATTTTTTGCATTTTTAGTAGAGACGGGGTTTCACCATGTTGACCAGGATGGTCTCGATCTCTTGACCTCGTGATCCACCCGCCTCGGCCTCCCAAAGTGCTGGGATTACAGGCTTGAGCCACCGCGCCCGGCTAATTTTTGTATTTTTAATAGAGACAGGGTTTTATGTTGGCCAGGATGATATCGATCTCCTGACCTTGTGATCCATCCGCCTCTGCCTCCCAAAGTGCTGGGACTACGCGTGAGCCACCATGCCTGGCCTGCCTTTCTGATTTCTCAAGCCTCAGCCACACCAACATGCCTGGCTAATTTGTTGTATTTTAGTAGAAATGGGGTTTCATCGTGTTGGCCAGGCTGGTCTTGAACTCCTTGAGCTCAAGTGATCATCCATCCTCGGCCACCCAAAGTGGTGGGTTTACCAGCATGAGCCACCTTGCCTGGCCTAAACACACTTTTTTTTTTTTTTTTTTTAACTGTACTTAAAAGTCCACCTAAATTAAGAACACACAATGGGCGGATCACCTGAGGTCAGGAGTTGCAGTCCAGCCTGGCCAACATGGTGAAACCTCCGTCTCTACTAAAAATACAAAAATTAGCTGGGTGTGGTGGCAAGCGCCTGTAATCCTAGCTACTCAGGGGGCTGAGGCAGGAGACTTGCTTGAACCTAGTGGGGTGGAAGTTGCAGTGAGCTGAGATTATGTCATGGCACTCCAGTCTGATTGACAAGAGTGAGACTCCATCTCAAAAGTCAAGAACGACAACAACAATCCGGTTTAGTAACATGGAAAAATGTGTAAGATTTAACACTAAAAGGGGCAAGGGTTGCATCTATAAGGTTTACGTGCATACATATGAAGAGAAGAAGGGATTCGGAATTTAAAACTGTATCCTCTGGCTGGGAGCAGTGGCTCATGTCTATAATTCCAGCACTTTGGGAGGCCCAGGTGGGCAGATCACCTTAGGTCGGGAGTTCGAGACCAGCCTGGCCAATATGACAAAACCCCATCTCTACTAAAAATACAAAAATTAGCTTGGTGTGGTGGTGAGCACCTGTAATCCCAGCTACTCAGGAGGCTGAGGCAGGAGAATCGCTTGTACCTGGGAGGCAGAGGTTGCAGTGAGCCGAGATCTTGCCACTGCACTCGCCTGGGGGACAGAGTGAGACTCCGTCTCAAAAAGAAAAAAAGAAAAGAAAAGTTATGAAGCTGGGCGCAGTGGTTCATGCCTGTAATCCCAGCACTTTGGGAGGCTGAGGCTGTTGGAGTACCTGAGGTCAGGAGTTCGAGGCCAGCCTGGCTGACAAGGTGAAATCCCATCTCTATTAAAAATTTAAAAATTATCTGGGCATGGTGGCGCACGCCTGTAGTCACAGCTACCCGGGAGGCTGAGGCCAGAGAATTGCTTGAACCCCGGAGGCAGAGGTTGCAGTGAGCGAAGATCACGCCAATGCACTCCACCCTAGGTGACAGAAGGAGACTCCGTCTCATTTAAAAAAAAAAAAAAATGTGTGCAGTCTACTGTATATCACAGTCCAATAAAATAGTAAAGAGGTGGAAGCCGTCTAAGCGGGCGCTGCGGTGGAGTAGCGATCAAGCCTGCCTGCGAGCAGTTCACCTGATTCAACCCCAAAACGGACTTCCAGCGGCGTTCCCGACCCCGCAGTACGCCTTCCGCGCGGCTTGCGGTTGGGGGGCCTGTAGGGGACACCCGAGCCTTCGTAGGGAGGTGTTGCAATCCCGCGCAAGGGCCTCCGACTCCCAGACACTCGCCACCTTCCGGCACCCTGGGGAAGGCCCTGCACTTCCCGACCCTTCCCTCCCAGCAGCCCGCCGAGCCACTACACTTGGCCGCGGCAGCGCTGACGTCACCGCCCCACCTCCCCGCCTCGCGCGGCTGTTCCCGCCCCGCCCCCTTTCCCGGCGTGCGCCGCGGCTAAAGCTCCTCGCCCTCGGCTTCTGCCTGTCGCCCCAAGATGGCGGACACAATGAGCCGGTTACGCGCTACTTGCCCCTGAGGTGGCTGTGAGGACCAACGATCGGCGAGGCTCCACAGTCCAGGCAGAAGATCATCGTCCAAGCAGGAGGAAGGGGAGGAGGCGGCCCAACTGTCGGCCGACTTCTTGCTAGCCGCCGGCGCGGCGCCGGCCCCGCCTAGTTGGCCCCTCAGCAGCCCGCCCGCTCGCCGCCGGGCCCCGCCCCGGCCCTGCGCCGCCGCTGCTTTCCCCTGCCGCCGCCATGAAGCTGACCGACAGCGTGCTGCGGAGCTTCCGCGTCGCCAAGGTGTTCCGCGAAAACTCGGACAAGATTAACTGCTTCGATTTCAGCCCCAACGGCGAGACGGTCATCTCGAGCAGCGACGACGACTCCATCGTGCTCTATGACTGCCAGGAGGGCAAGTGAGTGAGGCGGAGGCCCTGGGCCCGGGTCTCAGTCCCTCCCTTCCTCCGGTGGCCCAGCACTGGTCCCTCGGCCCGCCCTCCGCCCCGACTTCAGCCCCCGGCCTATTTTGCACGCGTTCCTCACGGGGCCACTTCCACCCCGCAGCCGTCCAGGAGACCTTTTATTTTTTCGTCTTCTAAAAAAAAATTGCGATAGTCATAATAATGGCATTATTATTTGTATGTCTAAGGTCTCGTTAGAGCGCTATGTATCGCTTGCCAAACCCCACCTTGACCTTGACCTTTAAACGCCCGGTCCGCCCACCCCGGGCCCAGCAGGTAGCGTTTTCAGCTCCTCGGGCTCTCTAAGGTGCTGGTCGTCTCCGGCCTCGACGCAGGACTGCAGGGGCTGCTCTTCTGCTTCCTTCGGCAGCTCTCTTCTTCTGCCCTCTCCGCTGTGACCTCGATTCCTCCCTGGCACTCCGCCCATCCCCTGCCCCTCAGCTTCTCGCGACCTTTCTGCCGTCAGGCCGCATGGGTTGCAGTTCTTAGCTGTCAGGGTTTATTTGTTGTGCCTCTTTGAGCCCCCTTGCTTTTTCTTCCTGTTCCTAGGCTTTCTCTTACTCCGTCAGAATCGGTGCCCACGTTCATAAGTGAACTTCTCAGCAGTAACTAAAACTTCATTTTTGCCACATACAAACGAACTTTGCCGTCCCATCCTGACCTGAATGTGAGCTTCCGTTAAAACAAAGCAAGCATCGTAGAACAATTTTGGGTTTCCTTTCATCCTTTTTTTAAAAAATTATTACACATGTTGGTCCACCTTGAATTCCAGTTCTGACCACGAAACTTCGATGTTGCCGCCAAGTCATCTGGAGACCCACCACACCTGCATCTTTTCGAAAAACCTAAGCACAGCATTTTGCCTTTTTCCCTGAGGGGGGTCCTTGGCAGCCCCCTCACCGCACGCCTGTGCACTTGCAGCTCCTTGGAGCCAAAACTAGCTTAGATTAAATCGTTTTACCCTCAGTCCCTTTCCCCAAGAAGGCTTGCTGATGTTTGGTTTAAATGGGTGGCCTCTGGTTTTGTCAGGCTTGATTTTGTTACTTAGTAGTAACACATCTTGTTTTTTTGAGATCTTGGGTTTTTCTCTACCTTCTCCAGCTGTTTCTTTTGCCTTTTTTTTTAAACTGGTATCTTTCTTTGGAACGTGTCTTTTCATTTGTGAATTTGATTATCTAGTTTGGGCTGAGCTAGAATGGTATCCCCTCCCCCCAAGTTTTCTCCCACTGGGGCTGTGAGAAAGTATTATGTAACTGGCTCTGGATCTGCCTGCAGTATGTGGCAGGGTGGTCTGCAGTGGTGGTCCTAAGGAAGAGGGAATTGTTAGCCGGGCAAATAGTTTGAGTCAGTGTTACTCATTTAGTAGGTAGATTTCTGTCCTGGTCTGGTCACTTGAATCAGTTTAGAAGAGGAAGTAACATTTAAAGGTATGGTAGTAGCGCTGGAGTTGTGGAGTCCTGGAGAAGTAATTTGAAGCTGGCTTGCATAAAACGTTTAGTGCTTATGCACAGATTAGAACCTCTTCCCAGAATATGAGGATGGAGATATATATCCTCATTTTTAAAAATGAAGGTTGTGATAACATCTCTTTGCAGTTTGTCCCCAAATTTGGCATAATTTCTATTTGAGAAGTATAACCTTGACATGAGTCTGGCCTTTTTTTTTTTTTTTTTTTTTTTTTTTGAGACAGTTTCCCTCTCGTCACCCAGGCTGGAGTGCAGTGGCACGGTCTTGGCTCACTGAAACTATTGCCTACCGGATTCAAGTGATTCTCCTGCCTCAACCTCCTGAGTAGCTGTGATTACAGGCGCCCACCACCATGGCCTGCTAATTTTTTGTATTTTTGTAGAGATGGGGTTTCACCACGTTGGCCAGGCTGGTCTTGAACTCCTGACCTCAGGTGATCCACCCTCAGCCTCCCAAAGTATTGGGATTACAGACATGAGCCACTGCACCTGGCCAAGTCCTGTCTTGTTAAAAGTAAAATGCAAGTTTTGTGACATCAGGCAATTTATTGACTCATGTAGCATTTTTACGTAATTACAAACTTAGAGAAAGTTGCAACAGTGTTTCAGAGAACTGCCATATGATTCAATAACTGGTTACATTTTCTGCATTTGCTTCATTACTGTATGTAAATATTTATATATACTGTGTGCCTCCCCCCAACCCTTAAAGTTGAAAGTATCAAGCCCCTTTATCCCTAAACACTTCAACATGGATTTTCTTTCCTTCTTATTTTTTCCTGAGACAGAGTCTCACTCTGTGACCCAGGCTAGAGTGCAGTGGCACAATCTCAGTTCACTACAACCTCCACCTCCCGGGTTCAAGCAATTCTTCTGCCTCAGCCTCCTGAGTAGCTGGGATTATAGCACACCCAGCTAATTTTTGTATTTTTAGTATAGAGAGAGGGTTTCACCATGTTGGTCAGGCTGGTCTTGAACTCCTGACCTTACGATCCGCCTGCCTCTGGCTCTGAAAGTGCTGGGATTACAGGCATGAGCCACTGCACCCGGCTCAACATGGATTTTCTAAGCACAAAGACATTCTTACATAACCAGAGCACAATTGTCCAAATTAGGAAATTTAGTATTGATAACAATACTACAGGGTATGCTCTTTTGAGTTTTCTCTGGTCAGTTAATTGTGACCTTGTTTCATTATGGTATGTGGTGAAGGAGTGGCATAGTAGGAGAGAACTAGGTTCTAGTTTTGCCTGCGATTAGGTATGTGGCGTTGGTCAAATCTCTTCTCTGGATATTAGACAACCTCTTTAGCTTCTATTCTAGGCAGTAATGTGATGAAAAATTTTGTCACTAGTATAGGTCAAACCAACCTCAGAAGAAAAGAAGTATTTCCTTAGAAGGCATAGTATTGTATCTTTTTTTTTTTTTTTTTTTTTTGAGATGGAGTTTTGCTTTTATTGCCCAGGCTGGGGTGCAATGGTGGGATCTCAGCTCTGCAACCTCCACTCCCTGGTTCAAACAATTCTTCTGCCTCGGCCTCCTGAGTAGCTGGGATTACAGGCATGCGCCACTGTGCCTGGCTAGTTTTGTATTTTTAGTAGAGACGGGGTTACTCCATGTTGGTCAGGTTAATTTTGAACTATGGACCTCAGTGATCAGCCCTCCTTGGCCTCCCAAAGTGCTGGGATTACAGGTGTGAGCCACCCCGCCTGGCCAGCATGGTATCTTTATTAGATGACATTAATGTTAGAATTTGGGAGTTTGGGCCGGGCGCGGTGGCTCACACCTGTAATCCCAGCACTTTGGGAGGCCAAGGCAGGTGGATCACGAGGTCAAGAGATCGAGACCATCCTGGTCAACATGGTGAAACCCCGTCTCTACTAAAAATACAAAAAATTAGCTGGGCATGGTGGCGCGTGCCTGTAATCCGAGCTACTCAGGAGGCTGAGGCAGGAGAATTGCCTGAACCCAGGAGGCGGAGGTTGTGGTGAGCCGAAATTGCGCCATTGCACTCCAGCCTGGTTAACAAGAGCAAAACTCCGTCTCAAAAAAAAAAAAAAAAGAATATGGGAGTTTGAAAATGGGTAAAGCAAATTTTGTATGCTTAGTATTTTCTAGTTTACTGGTCACTTAAATTTTCTTTATAATGGAGTTCACGCATTGAGAGATATTTCAGCTTGGAAGAATATAAAGGCTGTTGTTTGTGGTAGGTGAAGCAAATTACTCAAAGTGAAAACTTAGTAGTATTTTCCTTGTTGATGCTTGATCACCAGAATTATAGTTTCAGGAGGGAAGCTTACCAAAATATTTGAAAAATGTCGTGCATGTACTTTGTAAGAACCACAAATAGATGCAGTACAACATAATCTTGCTTTCATTTAGGAAATGAGGCGGGGTGAGGTGGCTCACACCTGTAATCCCAGCACTTTGGGAGGCCAAGGTGGGTGGATCACCTGGGTCAGGAGTTCAAAACCAGCTTGATCAATGTGGTGAAACCCTGGCTCTACAAAAATTGCTGAGTGTGGTGGCGGGCACCTGAAATTGCAGCTACTCAGGAGGCTGAGGCAGGAGAATGTCTTGAACCGGGAGGCAGAGTTTGCAGTGAGCCGAGATTGGGCTACCGCATTCCATCCAGGGGAACAGAGTGAGACTCTGTGTCAAAAAGATAAAAATGACATTAGGAAATGAAATGAGGTAATAGATTGCTGTTATTAGAAAAAAAAAAAAAAACTCAACTTAGTGTTTTTGATAAATTTGAGACAAAGAGGCCAGATCTAACTGAAATCAGAAATTTTCCTTACACTATTCCCTTTTAACTCATCAGGTTAGAGTTTGCTCTTCATGTTGTCTTTTTTTTTTCCTTTGAGATGCTCTTTTTGCCCAGGCCGAAGTGCAATGGTGCTATCTTGGTTCACTGCAACCTCCACCTCCCAGATTCAAGCAATTCTCCTACCTCCGCTTCCCAAGTAACTGGAATTACAGGTGCCCACCATCACACTTGGCTAATTTTTTTTTTTTTTTTTTTTTTTTAGTAGAGATGGGATTTCACCATGTTGGCCAGGCTGGTCTCAAACTTCTGACCTCAGGTGATCCAGTCACCTCAGCCTCCCAAAGTGCTGAGATTACAGGTGTGAGCCACTGAACCCGACCAGGTTCTGTCTTTATGACTGTAGATGGGATGAAGTAACTAGTATAAACTTCTTCCACTGGTAGAAGCAAAGTCAATAATCTAGAGAGTAAGTATACAGCCACACATTCAGCCTCCCTCACTGGTTACCACACAGTAACCCCACATCACAACCCCAGAGAGTGGACTTGGCAAAGTAGCCTTTGCTGATCTTTTTATTGGTGAAGTATTATATCAGTAAAGGTAAGAATGTGGAAAATCCAGTGCATTTGTAGTGAGAAATCTTTTGGAAATGGGTTTCATATGGGGAAGCCCTCGACCTCACTTTAGCAAAAATTGAAAGTGCAAACAATTGACTTAAAGACTGCTTGAGTCATGTGATTGTTTAGCATCTAGATTCTGAGAGTTTTTTTTTTTTTTTTTTTTTTTTTTTTTTTTTTTTTTGAGACGGAGTTTCGCTCTTGTTACCCAGGCTGGAGTGCAATGGCACGGCACGATCTCGGCTCACCGCAGCCTCCGCCTCCTGGGTTCAGGCAATTCTCCTGCCTCAGCCTCCTGAGTAGCTGGGATTACAGGCACGCACCACCATGCCCAGCTAATTTTTTGTATTTTTAGTAGAGACGGGGTTTCACCATGTTGACCAGGATAGTCTCGATCTCTTGACCTTGTGATCCACCCGCCTCGGCCTCCCAAAGTGCTGGGATTACAGGCTTGAGCCACTGCGCCTGGCCTCTGAGAGGATTTTTACATTGAGAGGGTCAACTTTCCTTTTCATAAATTGGAACTCTTGGTAAACATTGGTACAGGATTTATGAAATCCTTCTAAAGACCTAAATGTAGGACATTGTGTTTAAGGCTTTCCTGTTTTCTCAATTGGTGCATATTGGAGAGTTGTTTTAGCATTTGAATCTAGATCTACGTAGATATTAAGGTCTCAAATTTTTTTTTTTTTCTTTTTTGAGACAGAGTCTCGCTCTGTCACCCATGCTGGAGTGCAGTGGCATGATCTCAGCTCACTGCAACCTCCGCCTCCCAGGTTCAGGTGCTTCTTGTGCCTCAGCCTCCCAAGTAGCTGAGACTATAGGCAGGTGCTACCACGCCCCGCTAATGTTTGTATTTTTAGTACAGATGGGGTTTCACCATGTTGGCCAGGCTGGTCTTGAATTCCTGACCTCAGGTCATCCACCTACCTCAACCTCCCAAAGTGCTGGGATTACCGGTATGAGCCACTGTACCTGGCCTCAAATTTTTCTAACTTAAGCAGTATGTGTTTAAGTTTTTGGTTACAGGTTCTGCTGAGATCAGTTTTAGCCTTGCTCTTCCAGGTTCTGTAGAGGGAGACATTTAACGAGCTTCAACAAATGGAGATTGATAACCTCTAACTTGGAAATGTATGATTTTATTTTTTTATTTTTTTTTGAGGTGGGGTCTTCACTGTCGCTGAGGCTGTATTGCAGTGGCATGATCTCAGCTCTCTGCAACCTCTGCTTCCTGGGTTCAAGCAATTCTGCCTCAGCCTTTCGAATAATTGGGATTACAAGTGTGCGACACCACACTCAGCTAATTTTTGTATTTTTAGTAGAGATAGGGTTTCACCATGTTGGCCCAGCTTGTCTCGAACTCTGTACTACAGGTGATCTGCCTGACTTGGCCTCCCAAAGTGCTGGGATTACAGGTGTGAGCCACTACCATCCAGCTGGAAATGTATGATTTTACATTTAAGTAAAAACAAAGGAACTATTTAGCTGGTTTTGCTAGAGAAAGTTAGGCTTGCCTTCTAAAAGGCTCAACAAGTGCTTTTGACCTGTAGGATAGGAAGGATGGGTATCTTCTGCAAGAGCAGGTTACATTGGCAAAGGCAAGCAGTTTTGCATCTGGTTTCAGTTTTGAGAAATGACTGCCATCTTGAAAAAAATAAAAGCTTCTTTCTAAATGGATGTCTTAAGAAAAGTTGGGCCTCTTGGGTTTGACATATTCTCATAGCCCTCTTTGTTGTAAGTTAGGACTTGTTCTGTGTGCCTTTTTCCCCAAGTAGATGTACAACCATGCATCAGTTAATGATGAGGATCATTACATGATGTTTTTGTTGCACCAGCATCATAGAGTGTACTTAATGCAAACCTGAATGGTATACACACCTAGACTACATGGTATGACCCATTGCTCCTAGGCTACAAACTTGTACAGAATGCTACAGTACTGAATACTGTAGACAATTGTAATATACTGTTAACTGTGTATGTAAACATAGAAAAGGTACAGTAAAAATAAAGAGTATAAGGGATTTAAAAAATGATATATAGCCGGGCGCGGTGGCTCACGCCTGTAATCCCAGCACTTTGGGAGGCCGAGGCGGGCGGATCACAAGGTCAAGAGATCGAGACCATCCTGGTCAACATGGTGAAACCCCATCTCTACTAAAAATACAAAAAACTAGCTGGGCGTGGTGGCGCATGCCTGTAATCCCAGCTACTCAGGAGGCTGAGGCAGGAGAATTGCTTGAACCCAGGAGGCGGAGGTTGTGGTGAGCCGAGATCGCGCCATTGCACTCCAGCCTGGGTAACAAGAGCGAAACTCAGTCTCAAAAAAAAAAAAAAAAAAAAAAAAAGAGGGAGGGCCGGGCGCGGTGACTCAAGCCTGTAATCCCAGCACTTTGGGAGGCCGAGGCGGGTGGATCACGAGGTCAAGAGATCGAGACCATCCTGGTCAACATGATGAAACCCCGTCTCTACTAAAAATACAAAAAATTAGCTGGGCATGGTGGCACGTGCCTGTAATCCCAGCTACTCAGGAGGCTGAGGCAGGAGAATTGCCTGAACCCAGGAGGTGGAGGTTGCGGTGAGCCAAGATCGCGCCATTGCACTCCAGCCTGGGTAACAAGCGCGAAACTCCGTCTCAGAAAAAAAAAAAAAAAAATGATATATTCGTTGTATAGAGCAGCTCCATTATAATCTTATAAGACCATTATCCCATGTGCTGACTGTTGGTCAAAATGTCGTTACATGGCACATGACTGTATTTTTTGTCAAAGCTTACTTTTGAACACTAGTAAAGACTGAATTGAATCCCCAGATTTACTTGTACTTCGTAACTAACCTTGCTATTAGGTGTTCTGAAGTAAAAGTCTTCTTCAGGTGGCTGTTGCTTGAGTGTTGTTTTTTCCCTTTTGGAAAAAATTGTTTCTTTCCAGTGTTAGAACTTACCAGAAATCCTCACCTTTGCCACATCATTCAAGTTGTTCTCTTTATATGGAGATCCCAGATTTTGATGATGGAGAATTTTCATGATTTTCTGTCTCTATTTCCTTATCAGACCAAAGAGAACCCTGTACAGTAAGAAATATGGTGTGGACCTCATCAGATACACTCATGCGGCAAACACAGTTGTTTACAGCTCTAACAAAATAGACGGTAAGCAAGCCTCCTTTTTAGGAAGTTAAGGTCATAGTTTCCTTAGTTAAAATAAATAGTTCATGTAATCTTTGTGATTACTTCTGTTTTGCCTATAGTTACTTTAGTTTAAATATTTTCATATAATGTTAGTAATGCTAATTACATTGTTTTGACTGAGGGAATGCTGGAAGCAAGCCATTAGCACTTTTGAAGGACTTGGGAATGAGTGTTTAAGTCTCTAGTTTAGAGTTGGGAATGGAAAAAGGAAGCAACTAATTGTATTTATGATTTGTACTTCCTAAAACTTCAAAGAACACTTTTAAATCTGGGCGTGGCTTGTACCCGTAATCCCAGCACTTTGGGAGGCTTTGTCGGGTGGATCACTTGAGGCCGGGTATTTAAGACCAACGTGGCCAATATGATGAAACCCTGTCTCTACTAAAAATACAAAAATTAGCCGGGTGCAGTGGTGTGCGCCTGTAATCCCAGTTACTCAGGAGGCTGAGGCAGGAGAATCGCTTGAACCTAGGAGGCAGAGGTTGTGGTGAGCCAAGATTGCACCACTGCACTCCAGTCTTGGTGACAGAGCAAGACTCAGTCTCAGAGAAATAAAATAAAAAAATAAACAAAAAATAATAATAAAAAGAATACTAACATGAAAATAAGTGTTACAGTTCAGTTACCAAGATAATCTGTTAACTTAGGACTTATCTTGAGAAATCTGTTTGGAGGCCAAGGTGGGTGGATCACCTGAGGTCGGGAGTTCAAGACTAGTCTGACCAACATGGTGAAACCCCATCTTTATTAAAAAAATTTCACCCTCCTGAGTAGCTGGGACTACAGGCATGTGCCACTACGCCTGGGTACTTTTTTGAATTTTTAGTCGAGACAGGGTTTCACTGTGTTAGCCAGGATGGTCTCAATCTCCTGACATCGTGATCTGCCTGCCTTGGCCTCCCAAAGTGTTGGGATTACAAGTGTGAGTCACCGCAACCAGCCAGGATTATTTTTTTTTAAAAACTTAGTTCACTGATTTACTGATGATCACTTCATATTTTGCAGTAAGATTTTTTTTTTTTTAGGCCAGGCATAGTGGCTCATGCCTGTAATCCCAGCACTTTGGGAGGCCAAGGAGAATGGATCAGTCAAGCCCAGAAGTTTGAGATTATCCTGGGCAATATGGCAAAACCCCATCTCTACAAAAAATACAAAAATTAGCCAGATGTGATGGCACTTGCCTGTAGTGCCAGCCACTTGGAAGACTGAGGATGGGAGGATTGCTTGAGGTCGGGAGGTCTAGGGTATAGTGAGCTGTGATCACACCACTGCATTACAGCCTAGGTGACAGAGCGAGGCTCCGTCTCAAAAAACAAAAACAACAAAAAAGAGATTTTTGTAATGTCATTCCACAAGGATAGCTTACACTGCTATTTGGCTGTGCCTGTCTTAGAGCAGAACAAGCAGAAGTCCTTTTCTCTTTCTTTTTTTTTTTTTTTTTTCCTCTTTTTTTTTTAAATGAGACTCTTCTGCCTGTACTTGAGTTTTAGTACGTATATCATTTTTACTTTTCATGCCTCTATTTCAGAAGTGGTTTTCTAAGGAAGCAGTGTAGTTGATGATTTGGACAAGAATGTAAAACCTTAGGATCCTGAGGAAACATGTCTATGTGATCATCTGAATGACTGGTTTATTTCTTCTGTTGGGCTGTTTTACTGTGTGATTAAATGAGGATTCTGCAAATGTGGTACAAGATGAGGCAAATGTGTGGCACTTGTAGCTTTGCTGCCAGGCCTCTGCTGTGAGGATGTCCCCATGTTCCCTTTCCTGTCTCAAGTGCATCCTGAAGAGTTCTTCCAGCGCTCCGTTTCCTTTTGCCTGATTCCAGGCTGAGGTAGTAGTTTGTACAGTTTGAGGGTCTACGATACCACCCGGTACAGGAGATAACTGTACAGGCCACTGCCTTGCCAGGAACAGCGCGCCAGCTGCCAAGTGGGGCTGAGAGGATGGCGTCGCCCTGCTCATCTCTGGGAAATCAGGTAATGGGGAGGAGGTCTTTTTCTTCTTAGGACAGGTGAGTCATTGTTAGCAGTAGAATAACCAGAAATACTTTGTAGTTATCATTCAAGAAGTTTGAAGATGTTTTCAAGGAAAATTGGGTAGTGTTCAAGTTATGGAACATACAAATATCCCATTCCCCTATTCCCCCTCCCAAATTAAACGCCCTCTTACTAGAAAGCACCTCTGTGAACCCCTGAGATGACTTGATGCTTTCAACCCCTTTATTCCTGTGTTCTGTTAGCCTTCAGAATGTTCTTTCCATGCTTTTCTTTCTGCATTTTGGCACCATATTCTAGCTGCTTCTCAACAATTTTTCCTTATTCCTAGTCTTTTTAAGGGGATAATACTTTTCTATTTTGCAGTTTTATTCTTTATGGCACTTCATTTCTCTACCGCCACCATCTTTTTTGTTTGTTATTCTTTCAGATAGAATCATTTGGTTTTTTAAGAGTGTGTGTCTTACTTTCCCCAAGCACAAATCTCTGATTGTTCTTTTCTCTAATATTGTCAAAATCTCACTGCTATTACTCATTGGTGTAAGAATTTGATTTTTTTAACGTCTTAAGATCTTAACCCAGACCTCGATATCACTTCTCTAACTTTCTTCTTCTTCTTCTTTTTTTTTTTTTTTTTAATTTTCTTTTTAAAGATGGGGTTTCACCATGTTGACCAGGCTGGTCTTGAACTCCTGACCTCAGGTGATGCACCCACCTCGGCTTCCCAAAGTGCTAGGATTACAGGCATGAGCCACCACGCCCGGCTCTTTCTTTTGTTTATTTTCGTTGTAATTTGTGTATCCAATTAAAGAATTCAAATATGTTGGGGTTGGATCAACACACTGATGGAGAACTCTAGATAAAAACTGCTGCCAGGGTTCAACCTGATCTTCAGTTTAATTGCCATGGCTGCTCACCTCTTTGAGCCTGTTTACTCAACAGCCACGTATTTTTTCTTTAAGGTTTGCCATTCTGTGGACACTAGACCAATATCTAAAATTATTGTTTGTGCTTTTTTGTGGGGTTTTGTTTTTGTTTTTTGTTTTCGCCAGGGTACATTTGCAGGGCAAGTTGCATTGTAATTATGAAGAAGCCAAATTGGTAATAAAAGGTGATTTCAGACACTGTTTTCTATTCTGTCAACTTAAGAACTCTGCTTTTGAGTTAGGTGAAATCTACATGCCCACTCTTCAGCTGCAAAGTAGAATTATTCACCATTATTTATTCATGCCTTGCTTGGGATATAGGATACAATGGATTCTTTGACCTTGTCTTTTCAAGATGAAAATGCAAAGTAAATTTCTTTTAAATAGTATGATATCATCATACCTTTTTTGTCTTTTTACAGATACTATTCGTTACTTGTCCTTGCATGACAACAAGTACATCAGATACTTTCCTGGACATAGCAAAAGGTAAGACCCACGTATTATAGAAGCAGATAGTTCTTTTATCCCTTAGGTTACCCAGAGAATAGAAGGCTAGAGAGATCTTCTTAGTGAACTGAAGCTACTTCCTCACTACTGTTTGACATTCTTCTTCATCTTCTTTTAAATAGTCAACTCGTAAGGCCGGGTGCGGTGGCTCAAGCCTGTAATCCCAGGATTTTGGGAGGCCGAGGCGGGTGGATCACGAGGTCAAGAGATGGAGACCATCCTGGTCAACATGGTGAAACCCCGTCTCTACTAAAAATACAAAAAAAATTATCTGGGCATGGTGGCACGTGCTTGTAATCCCAGCTACTCGGGAGGCTGAGGCAGGAGAATTTCCTGAACCCAGGAGGTGGAGGTTGCGGTGAGCTGAGATCTGAGATCGTGCCATTGCACTCCAGCCTGGGTAACAAGAGCAAAACTCCGTCTCAAAAAAAAAAAAAAAAAATAGTCAACTCTTGATTTACTGAGGTTGTAGAGGTGCAGGGATAGGTGTTCAGAGATAATTCAGTTAAAATATAACTAGGCCTGGCACGGTGGCTCACGCTTGTAATCCCAGCACTTTGGGAGGCCGAGACAGGTGGATCACTTGAGTTCAGGAGTTTGAAACCAGCTGGGACAACATGACGAAACCCCCATCTCTACTAAAAAGACAAAAATTAGTTGGTCCTGGTGGCAGGTGCCTGTAATCCCAGCTACTCAGCAGGCTGAGGCAGGAGAATTGCTTGAACCTGGGAGGCAGAAGTTGTAGTGAGCCGAGATCGTACCACTGCACTCCAGCCTGGACAACAGAATATATATTCTAGTTATATAAATATATACATATTCTAGTTATATGTATAAAACTATAAAAAATAATGTGGATTAAAGATATTCAGTGAAAACCTATGTAATAAAAATTAGATTTGGCATTTAGGAATACCAAATCTCAGATATCCCTTAATAAAGGACTATTTGTGTTTATGAGGTCTTCCAACATATATGGCCCCTATTTCAGCAGGCTCCTACATAAAAATGTTCCGTTTGAAGATCTTAACGAGGATGCAAAAGAAAAGTCCTTTTTTCAAAATCCAGAAGTTTATTTCATATATATATATATATAATTTTTTTTTTTTTTTTTTTTTTTTTTTGAGACGGAGTTTCACTCTTGTTACCCAGGCTGGAGTGCAATGGCGCGATCTCGGCTCACCGCAACCTCTGCCTTCTGGGTTCAGGCAATTCTCCTGCCTCAGCCTCCTGAGTAGCTGGGATTACAGGCACGTGCCACCATGTACAGCTAATTTTTTGTATTTTTAGTAGAGACGGGGTTTCACCATGTTGACCAGGATGGTCTCGATCTCTTGACCTCGTGATCCACCCGCCTCAGCCTCCCAAAGTGCTCGGATTACAGGCTTGAGCCACCGTGCCCGGCCCTATTTTTTTTTTTTAAGATGAGGTTTCACCATGTTGATCAGGCTGGTCTTGAACTTCCGACCTCAGGTGATCCTCCCGCCTTGGCCTTCAAAGTTCTTCGATTACAGGCATGAACCACCACGCCCGGCCCCTTTTTCTATATTGTAATGCAGGTTGCTTCTCCCTCTTCTTCACCCCAGTACCCGTTACTGTTTTCTCTAATTTTTCAACTTTTGTTTGAATGTTAAACACATTTTCCCCTGAATAATATTTTAATCACTTGGGGGATTTTTTTCCTGTGTACATTTTCAAATGTATGGTAACCCAGGATGGTTTTGAATGGTACGGAGCCCTGACAGGAGACGGTATGAGAACCTCCTGTTAGAAGTTGCACTTCCAGGCGTGGTGGCTAATGCCTGTAATCCCAGGTCTTTGGAAGGCCAAGGCGGACAGACTGCTTGAGACTAGGAGGTGGAAACCAGCCTGGGCAACGTCTCTAGAAAAAATACAAAAATTAGTTGGGAGTGGTGGTATGCAGCTGTAATTTCTGTTACTCGGGAGGCTCAGGCACAAGAATCGCTTGAACCTGGGCTACAGAGGCTGTAGTGAGCCAAGGTGGCGCTACTGCACTCCAAATGGGTGACTGAGTGAGACCCTGTCTCAAAAAAAAACAAACGAGCAGGCCATTTGTGTTGCTGAAATATGGTGGTAGCCAGTGGTTACTGTAGTTTCAGACAAATGATGGCTCATGATAAGTAGATGTTTTTGCTTGTGTGTATTCCAGTTAGTGTTCCCAAATGTACTATTTGTAATTAAGAGTTGATGCAGTTGTTTCAGATGCTTTCCAATCTTCCCAATTATTCAATCTCTTGACCTCTGATTTTTGAGAAATGACTTAGTCCCTCCTTTTATGAGAAAATCAAGGCTACTCACAAAATGAGTTCTTTCAGTTGAGTGTGGTGGTTCAGGCCTGTTATCAGCACTTTGGGAGGCTGAGGTGAGAGGATTGCTTGAGCCTGGGAGGTCAAGGCTGAGTGAACCATGATTGTGCCACGGTATCCACCCTGTCTCCAGAAATAAAGTTCTTTTTAAACATCTATCCTTTCCACCTAAATTCCTCTCTTCCTTGGAATCTTTTCCTTGAGAAAGCAGTGGCCTTTCTTTGACAAAACAAACATTCCTCTTTCTGTTTGCTTCCATCTCCTTAATTGCCCTTTTCCTTGATCCTACAAATTTACTTGGTCTTATCTTAAATCTACTTATTGACCTTACAACTCACTTCTTTTCACTACCAAACTTGGAAGAATGATCTGCACATTCTCATCTCTACCTCTTCACACATGTTCACTGTTGAAATCATTTTTACACTTGTCCCAGAGTCATCTATGAGGCTTTATCCAAACCTTTTTCCTTCATTCCCTGCTGCCTCTAGTTTAAACCCACTGTTTTAGTCTTTGCTTGGTGCTTAACCTCTCAGTACACTTACTTTCCTGTGGCAGGTGACTTTTCCCATTTTAGTTCCATTCTTGTAATTCTCGGCCTCTATTTTGACTCTAAAGTAAACAAATACTCTATCCACTCTCTTTGTGATTTTCTGTCTCCATCACTGATTTTATTCATTCACCTCCATTCAGGTGGCTTCCCAAATCAGTATTTTTAGCTCATGTCTGTTACGAATTTCAGACCACCTTCCACCTGCAGGTTGGTTGGTTTGTTTGTTTGTTTGAGATGGAGTCTCGCTCTGTCACCCAGGCTGGCATGCAGTGGTACCATCTTGGCTCACTACAACCTTTGCCTCCTGGGTTTAAGTGATTCTTCTGCCTCAGCCTCCTGAGTAGCTGGGATTACGGGCGCACACCATCATGCCCTGCTAATTTTTGTGTTTTTGTTGACACGGGGTTTCACCATGTTGGCAAGCTGGTGTTGAACTCCTGGCCTTAAGTGATTTGCCTGCCTTGGCCCCCCAAAGTGCTGGGATTACAGGCGTGAGCCACCGTGCCTGGCCCCCACCTGCATGTTTGTTTGTTTGTTTGTTTGTTTGTTTTTATTTGTTTTTGTTTTTTGAGACCAGAGTCTCGCTCTGTCACCAGTGTAAGTGGTATAGTGGTGCCATCTCTGCTCACTGCAACCTCCGACTCCCTGATTCAGCTATTTTCCTGCCTCAGCCTCCCGAGTAGCTGGCATTATAGGCGCCAACCGCCGTGTCCAGCTTATTTTTGTATTGTTTTTTTTTTTTTTTTTGTAGAGACGGGATTTCACCATGTTGACCAGGTTGGTCTCGATCTCCTTACCTCATGATCTACCCGCCTTGGCCTCCCAAAGTGCTGGAATTATAGGCGTGAACCACCGCTCTCAGCCCCACCTATGTGTTTTATACACATCTGTGTAGCTGTCTCTTCTGTGCCTCTACCTTACAGGTCCAATACTCTGTACATCGTCATTATTTTCTTTGGACCAGCTCCTCTCTGTCTTCCTCCTGTTTCTTCTTCTCTGTCTCTTCCAATTCTGGCTCAAAGCATCTGTTGTCAGTTCACTTTTCTTTCCTTGTCATCATATCCAGTGATTTGTTAAACTACTTAGTTCTACCTAGGTTTAACCTCATATGTCACTTTCCTCTGTGTTCTCTGCTTTGCTTCTGCCCTGGCTCATGCCCTCTGAGGTAAATTATTGTTAGCTTCTGATTAATCATCCCGTCTCTTACCTTGCTTCACAACCTCCCTCAATGGTTCTCTACATTTTCCTTGCTCCTTCCCCTTAGAGTCAGGTTCTGCCCTTTCTGGCTCTGACCCATTTTCCCAGCATTTTCTTCTACAATTCCCATTAAGGTGAACTCTGAGCTACTTCTTGAACATGGGCCTTATGCCTTCCTGTCTGGCACCTTTCAGAAAGGTGTCTGTCTCCCTTTAAATCCTTTCCACCTCAGATGTTGTATCTTCCAGAAGCCTTCTCTGGTTCTCTTGGAGTCGTGTGGACTGGACAGTTAAGCTTCCTTTTAGTCAGGGTCCTTGCATGTGTTCTGCTCATTGTTCATGTGTTCCCTATACTTCTTAGCATAGAGTCTTGTACCTTCTCTGAGCTCTTGGGCTGAATGCCATAAAATTACATGTCCACGTGTGTTCTGCTCATTCCGGTCTTTGTTTTTTTGAAATGGTTTCTTGCTCTGTTGCCCAGGCTGGAGTGCAGTGGTGCGATCTCAGCTCACTGCAGCCTCCGCCTCCTGGGTTCAAGCGATTCTCCCACCCCAACCTCTTGAGTAGCTGGAATTAGAGGCACATGCCACCAGGCCTGGCTAATTTTTGTATTTTTAGTAGAGACAGAATTTCACCATGTTGGCCAGGCTGGTCTCAAACTTCTGACCTCAGGTGATTCACCTGCCTCAGCCTCCCAAAGTGCTGGGATTATAGGCATGAGCCACCATGCCTGGCCTGCTCGTTATGTTTTATTACCTCCTCAGCATTCCCAGGAAATGTTAGCTTTTAACAATATCTTTTAAAATTTTAAGTTGAGGATTTGGTACAGATGTTAGTTGAGTTATATTGGAAGAAAATGTTTTTAAGTGAGTGCCTCTTGAGGGTATATCTACAAAAGGGGACCATATCAGGAATACAGTTGCTGTTAGCATAGGCTTGTGGTTCTCCAGGCGAGGTACCTGTAACAGTAGCCTCACCCATCACCTGGGGGCTTGTTAGATTCACAGACCCCAACTCAGACCTACTGGAGTAGAGGCTCTGGGAGTAGATCCTAGCAATCTGTTTCAACCTACCCTTCAGGCGATGCTGATTGCTGATGCCCCTCAGGTTTGAGAACATCTATATAGTCCTCAAACATTTGATAAGGAATCCTGCTTTTGTGTTTTTTGTTTGTTTGTTTGTTTGTTTGTTTTGTTTTGAGACAGAGTTTCGCTCTTGTTACCCAGGCTGGAGTGCAATGGTGCGATCTTGGCTCACTGCAATCTCTGCCTCCTGGGTTCAGGCAGTTCTCTTGCCTCAGCCTCCTGAGTAGCTGGGACCACAGGCACACACCACCATGCCTAGCTAATTTTTTGTATTTTTAGTAGAGACGGGGTTTCACCATGTTGACCAGGATGGTCTTGATCTCTTGACCTTGTGATCCACCCACCTCGGCCCCCCAAAGTGCTGGGATTACAGGCTTGAGCCACCACGCCTGGCCGCTTTTGTGTTTTTTTAAGTGAGATATAGTCTACATACTGTAAATGATTCCTTTAAAAATGTACAATTCAGTGGTTTTCACTATATTTGCAAAATTGGACAACTTATTGCCATCGTCTAACTTCAGAACATTTTTATCACACCAAAGAGAAACCCCATACCCATTAGTAATCACTCCCCCAACCCCTGGGAACCACTGATCGACTTCTGTCTCTATAGATTTGCCTGTTCTAGACATTTTTTTTTTTTTTTTTTTTTTTGAGACGGAGTTTCGCTCTTGTTACCCAGGCTGGAGTGCAATGGCACGATCTCGGCTCACCGCAACCTCCGCCTCCTGGGGTCAGGCAATTCTCCTGCCTCAGCCTCCTGAGTAACTGGGATTATAGGCACACGCCACCACGCCCAGCTAATTTTTTTGTATTTTTAGTAGAGACGGGGTTTCACCATGTTGACCAGGATGGTCTTGATCTCTTGACCTCGTGATCCACCCGCCTCGGCCTCCCAAAGTGTTGGGATTACAGGCTTGAGCCACCGTGCCCGGCTGTTCTAGACATTTTATGTAAATGGATCAGTTAATATCTGATCTTTTGTGCCTGGCTTCTTTTAATTATTTAGCATGGTGTTCCCAAGGTTCATCCATGTTGTCATGTGAAGCAGTACTTTATTCCTTTTTATTGCCAAATCCAGTGTATAGATAATAGCACAATTTGTCTGTCCATCCATTAGTTAACATTTGGGTTATTTCTATTTTCTGGCTATTATGAATAATGCAGCTGTGAACATAGGTGTATATTTTTATGTGGATATATATTTTCAGTTATCTTGGGTAAATACCTAGGAGTAGAATTTCTGGGTCATATGGTAACTCTGTTTTTTTGGAAAAACTTTTCCAGAGCAACCGTACCATTTTTTACATTTCCATTAGTAATGTATGAGGGTTCCAATTTCTCTACATCCTCACCAACACGTGTTATCTCTCTTTATTATAGCTGTACTAGAGGTTGTGGAGTAGTAGCTCATTGTGGTTTTGATTTGCATTGGAATCATATATTTTAATTTTGTAACTTTAAATTGTTGGTTTTTTGTTTTGTTTTGTTTTGTTTTTTAAATTATACTAGTTGTCTTTGATTATTCCAGTTATGGTTGTGGTATGTGTGTTTTAGTGTGTTTCTTAAAATGGCAATTTAGGGAGAACAGGCTATATATATATATAAAAAAATATATCTTTATATATATATATTTATTTATATATATAGTAGCCAGAGTGGTTTAGAATTCACATCCAATTTTTGCTAATATTTTGTGTCACCTCCTATTTATCTCAATGTATTGCAGGGTGGTGGCCTTGTCCATGTCACCTGTGGATGACACTTTCATTTCTGGGTCTCTTGATAAGACCATTCGACTCTGGGATCTCCGATCTCCTAACTGCCAGGTAATGGTACCTCACCGTTATACTTTTTGAGCATTTTCCGTGGTAGGCACTGTAATAAACTCTACCTCTCAATGAAGGGAGAAAACAATGGTTTCATTCTGGAATCCCAGGGTCTTTTTAAACTTTGGAGAAAATCTGTTTTCCTAGTTGGTAGCTGCTAAGCAAATACTCTAATCAGATTGCATTGTTCTGTGTGGCTTAATGGGCTTTTTTGTTTGTTTTTTTTTTTTTGAGTCTTAATCTGTTGCTTGACTGGAGTGCAGTGGCACGACCTTGGCTCACTGCAACCTCCGGTTCAAGTGATTCTCCTGCCTCAGCCTCCCGAGTAGCTGGGACTACAGGTGCGCACCACCACACCCAGCTAATTTTTGTATTTTTAATGGAGACGGGGTTTCACCATGTTGGCCAGGATGGTCTTGATCTCTTGACCTTGTGATCTGCCCACCTCGGCCTCCCAAAGTGTGAGATTACAGGTGTGAGCCACCATGCCCAGCCGTTTTTTGTTTGTTTTTGTTGTTGTTGTTGTTTGTTTTTTTGAGACAGTTTCACTCTCCTTGGCCTGGCAGTGGCTTGATCTCAGCTCACTGCATCCTCTGCCTCCTGGGTTCAAGCAGTTCTCCTGCCTCACCCTCCCGAGTAGCTGGGATTACAGGCATGTGCCACCAGTCCCAGTAGCGACGGGGTTCACCATGTTGGTCAGGCTGATCTTGAACTCCCAACCTCAGGTGATCTGTCTGCCTCAGGCCCCCCTCCACAATGTGCTGGGATTACAGGCGTGAGCCACTACCATGCCCAGCTGGCTTAATGTTTTCAAAAGTGTTCCTAGAACTTTTAGCTTCAAGGAATTTATTTTTATTTGAACTCTGTCTATAATGTTGTGTAGATAGGGGTGATCAGAAATTGTTGTCTGGAGACCTGTTCTATGAAAGTTTCATTTTAGTTCTATCGTCGCTGTTTCTTTTTTTTTTTTTTTTTGAGACGGAGTTTCGCTCTTGTTACCCAGGCTGGAGTGCAATGGCGCGATCTCGGCTCACCGCAACCTCCGCCTCCTGGGTTCAGGCAATTCTCCTGCCTCAGCCTCCTGAGTAGCTGGGATTACAGGCACTCGCCACCATGCCCTGCTCATTTTTGTATTTTTAGTAGAGACGGGGTTTCACCATGTTGACCAGGTTGGTCTCGATCTCTCGACCTTGTGATTCACCCGCCTCGGCCTCCCAAAGTGCTGGGATTACAGGCTTGAGCCACCGCGCCCGGCTATCGTCGCTGTTTCTATTCTGTAGGTAGGCTGATATATGTTCGTATGCCTTTCTTAGTTTTCATTGGGAAAAGTAAATTATGTAGTGGTAAGGTTCTCGATTCATTTTTTTTTCCCCCATTATACTAGCAGTCTTTGATTGTTCTAGGTATGGTTGTGGTATCTGTGTTTTAGTGTGTTTCTTACTTCTTTTCTTTTAGGGCCTCATGCATCTTCAGGGGAAACCAGTTTGTTCTTTTGATCCAGAAGGGTTAATTTTCGCTGCAGGTGTCAACTCTGAAATGGTCAAACTTTATGACCTTCGTTCTTTTGATAAGGTAAATCTTTGAATCTTTGAGCTATCTTAATGTTATGGAAGTTTTAAGGGTGAAGTAGACATGCAAGAGCCTTTTCTTTTCTTTTTTAGGCAGAGTTTTGCTCTTGTTGCCCAGGCTGGAGTGCAGTGGTGTGATCTCAGCCCACTGCAACCTCCACCTCCGGGTTCAAGTGATTCTTCTGCCCCAGCCTCCCAAGTAGCTGGAATTACAGGCATGTGCCACCACGCCTGGCTAACTTTTTATATTTAGTAGAGATGAGGTTTCACCATGTTGGTCATGCTTGTCTCTTAACTCCTCACCTCACATGATCCACCCACCTCAGCCTCCCAATACAGGCATAAGCCACCGCACCTGGCCCTGTAACAGCCTTTTCTACGAAAGGAAAAATATGGTAGATATTAGAGAGTGGCAGAGAAGTAATTCATTCTCTGCTTTCCTTAGTCAAACAGGAATCTAAAGGAATAGGATGGGAATTGGCTCGGGCAGAAGAAATAATTAATATGCCTTGGGCCTGGGGCTACTTTTTTTTTTTTTTTTTAAGACGGTGTTTCGCTCTTGTTACCCAGCTGGAGTGCAATGGCATGATCTCGGCTCACCGCAACCTCCGCCTCCTGGGTTCAGGCAATTCTCCTGCCTCAGCCTCCTGAGTAGCTGGGATTACAGGCATGCGCCACCATGCCCAGCTAATTTTTTGTATTTTTAGTAGAGACGGGGTTTCACTATATTGACCAGGATGGTCTCGATCTCTGGACCTTGTGATCCACCTGCCTCAGCCTCCCAAAGTGCTGGGATTACAGGCGTGAAACACCATGCCTGGCAAAGGGCTACTATTTTTTATCTTTTGCAGGGGCCATTTGCCACCTTTAAGATGCAGTATGATCGAACTTGTGAGTGGACAGGACTTAAATTCAGCAATGATGGCAAGCTCATCCTCATTTCCACCAACGGCAGCTTCATTCGTCTCATTGATGCATTCAAAGGAGTGGTGATGCACACGTTTGGGGTGAGCTGACAGCCTTCGAGCATGACTGTTTCCATGCTCATACTTCCTGTGCTAAGAATTATGGTAGCTGGTTGGTAGAGACCAGCAGTTACTCTTGACTTACTGATGAAGGCATGCACTTGCATTTTCTTCCTGATCATGAACTTACTTCACTTGGATTCTGTAAATGTTCATTTCTCACCAAGTGACCCAAGTTTGGTATTTAGATATAAAATAATTAAAATAATTTCCTAACAATAAAGTTTTCTTGCCCCCTTGAGTACACCTGAATACAGAGTTGAGGGTGGGAGTGGATTATAAAGGATGACAACCGCATTTGGAAGCTTGGTGGTTTAGTACATGACAAGAAAAGTGTTTCATGGAAAGGAATGTGCTGAGTCAGTGTTTGTAGGCAGCTGTTTTTATAGATGGCCCTGTAACAACAAAAGAACTGCTCTGTTTTGTTTTAGGGTTATGCCAACAGTAAAGCTGTCACACTGGAGGCTTCATTTACTCCAGACTCTCAGTTTATTATGATTGGTGAGTTTCCTTTATCCCCTGTGGGGGTTATTTTTCTGGTACTATATGCATTTCTTTGTTTAAATTATTAACTGAGACATTATTATTATTATCTGTTTAATAGATATTCTCAGATTTCTGTATAGCACATTATGCCAAGGACATAATGTCTTTTAACTGCCCTGACTTTGGAGTTCTGTACAGAGAACTGGCATTAATGTTGGTCTTCTCTGGACCAACATTTGAGTTAACTCTACAAGCACTACCTTATTAGTAATACTAATGTCCTGGTACAACCCAACATTCAGTCATATTAGGGGGTGCCTGTTGGTAGGGTAATGGTATTCGGCCCCTTTTTTAGATGAGAAAACTGAAGTTAAAGCGGAAGTGACATGCCTGTGAACAAATAGCCAGAGTCAAGATCAATTTTAAAGTGTCCTTCCTTCACTGCCTCTCCTCCCTCTCAGTTTTGCTTCAGGGATGGGTCCTGAAGTTTGGCCTGTCCTCAGACCTCAATCCATGTCTCGTCTCCAGTTGTCTTTGTATTGTGCCTTGAACTGTTAGATTTTCCTTCAATATTCTCTTTAGGTTCAGAGGATGGCAAGATTCATGTCTGGAATGGAGAGAGTGGTATAAAAGTAGCTGTGTTGGATGGTAAACACACAGGCCCAATTACCTGTTTGCAATTCAACCCCAAGTTCATGACTTTTGCCAGCGCATGTTCCAACATGGTATGTGAACAATAAGAGGTGTCTGCCACCCAGGGACCCTTTCCAGTTGGGGTAGTGGGTGCCTCAATAAGCACAGCAAGCTGTGTTGTACATAGTTACATTATAGCCATCCAAGTTCATGTTTCCCAACTGGTGGTTTCCCTATTTCACCTCTTATTATTTGATCTCTGGCTGGGCTGGTCTTGTCTTTCATTTTTCTTTTTTTTTTTTTTTTTTGAGACGGAGTTTCGCTCTTTTTACCCAGGCTGGAGTGCAATGGCGCGATCTTGGCTCACCGCAACCTCTGCCTCCTGGGTTCAGGCAATTCTCCTGCCTCAGCCTCCTGAGTAGCTGGGATTACAGGCATGCGCCACCATGCTCAGCTAATTTTTGTATTTTTAGTAGAGACAGGGTTTCACCATGTTGACCAGGATGGTCTCGATCTCTTCACCTCGTGATCCACCCGCCTCGGCCTCCCAAAGTGCTGGGATTACAGGCTTGAGCCACCGTGCCCGGCCCATTTTTCTTCCTAGAGGTGATCTGGAATCACCTTTGAGCTCCAAGGAGATCATAGGCCAGTTTTTGCCCTGGACCCTAATTTTAGGTCCAGACTACCTGGGCTACACTTAGCAACTTTTTTGCTTCTTAAAATACTCTGAATCAGTCTTTTGTGGTTTCAGTTTTTCATTCCTCTTGGTTTACGCCAAATTCCCAGAACTTTCTATAGTTGGTCATAACTTACCAGTTAGAATTAACTGCAGGCCCTTGTCTCTTCCTAGATAATAACTAACAGAACAAAGGATCAGTGAGTCTCAGCTCCAGTTTTCCCTGTGATCTCCTAAATCTGCATGGGCATTCGGCGATGAGACATTATCAGAGTTGGTTGGTCAGGAGGGAGGGCCACCAGAGCCATTGGAATTGGTCACATTTTTGCTGTGGGGTGGGATGTAAAGAACCCTTGGTAGTGAGGAAATGCTTGGCTTTGTTTTTAAGTTGATTTATGTTCTTCTAGGCCTTCTGGTTGCCCACCATTGATGACTGACCCTGATGCTGCTCGGCTATTTCTGTACAGTGAGGGGGCCAGCAGGAAGAAACTCAGAGGGGACTGAGATAGTAATGGGATTGGATCATTTGATTGGGCTGGAGAACATCCTTTCACATGGCCTTCCCATCAATGTGCTGTACATCTGCTCAAAAGGAAATAATTACTTTGCTGAGCGTCTTCAAAAGGACTGTTGGTGCAACAGACTCAATTGGAACTCAGCTTTGTTACTTGTCCCTGCACCAAGCTCTGCTAGAGGAGTGACCAGCTCACGATTTGGTATAGTGGGGCTCTCAAGACATCTTCAATTTGAATGTACATGCTGCTGAGGAGCCAGTGAAGTCATCAGTTCTGCACATCCTTTCTCCTACCCCTCAACTGCATGGGAAGCCACAGTCCTGGTTTTAAAATGCTTGGGCAGCTCAGTGCCCCTTGCCCTCACCCTGCATGTCTTGTTACTGGGTCTCCCTGTGTACTTGTGGCATTATCCACAACCATCATGTTTCTTAGGTGCCAAACATTTACAGAAACGTTTTCATATATCTTGGAGTCAGAAAGGGACAGATACAGAAGAACCTTGCTTGCAGGAAGCCATCCAGTTAGTCACTGCAGTTAGTTGTGTGAGGCTAGGTGGTTGGGCAGGCCTCTCAGGCTGTAGGTGTTGGGTGGGAAAAGGCGGCCCCCAAGGGCCTGAAAGGGAAGGAATGGTGAGGGTAGCAGGTGAGTTCCTAGAGCTGGAAGGTTTAGTAGCAGCCTGGTGCAGGGCCCTGTCATCAAGACAAACCCACGGTCCTCCTGGGTGCCTACCAAGCTTGGTTTGTACAAAAGCAAGGTGGGAGTCTATTTTTGTACATGAGATACATCACACTTTCCTGTGGGCCAGTATTGTGAAGTGAGTCTGAGTTGTTTACACTGATGCCTTCCCTGCCCACCACAAATTATGTACATAGTCTTCAGATGATACCACCCCTTTCCCCAGCTCCCAACCAAGAGCTGGTTCTAGGCCTGTGTTATATGTCATATTTAGCCTTTTTATATATGACCTTTGATTTCTGTTGTTTGTATTTTAGCACAGTGTATGCACCTTCATTTAAATACATCTGTGTGCATACAGATATGCATATATGTGTGTGTGTATGCATATATCTCTCATATATGCTTCTGAGAGTTCAGCTGAAGCAGATGGAGTCCGCAGCCCAGGAGACAAACTGCATCCTTGCTAATAGTGTTTGCCGCAAGTGTTCCTGAGTCTTCCCTATTAATGTTTTCATTTCGGAGGACTGAATGAAGCAAAGCTTATAGTGTTTGCTGTTTCCATGGCAGCTAAGTGAGGGTCTTGAGATGACTCCCTGTGTTCCTCAAGCCGCACTTTGGGGTTCTCTTGCAGTATTAGCCCCCTTTTTGCTTGGTGGTACTCTGTCTGTGCCTGTGTGTGTGTGTGTGTGTGTGAGAGAGATAGTCACTCTTGCATGGCTTCTGTGTCTGGCTTGTGGCATTTGTGGGATAGGGTGCTTAAGCCAGAGCATTTTCAGTTTGTTTGAGGCCTCATTGCCAATGATAGATCACTCTTATTTACCTGGTATGTCTGTTTTCTTGCTGCTTTTCCTTGCTCTCTCTTGGAAGAGGAAGGGGCCCTAGTCAGGCCCAGGCTGAATGAGATGAGCTACAGCTGGCTCATGGCCTTCTTAGAGCAGAGAAAGTGGTAAGTCATTTTACTAAGTTCCTAAACAGTTATGCAGGCAACACTCCTTGCAGATCCAGAAACTGAGGCACAATAAGGTTATGACTTGCTCAAGAATACATAGCTGCTAGGGAGTAAATAAGGCATCACAATTTTCTGTTCAGTGGCAGGAATAGGCTATGAATTGCAGAGGTGTACACCTTTCCCAGATGTAGACTAGAATCTGCAGGATGCCACCCACTGTGTATAGCTCTGCTTTCCCAGAGAGGAAGGACTTATAGAAACCATATGATCTTAATTGTGATTGCCCACCCCTGGTTTTTCAGGGTAGAAAATTCATGATAGGAATAATTGTTAAGAGAGAGTGTTTGGAACCATGGGTTAACAGGAAAGGCTACATAACTTCACTTATCTGCAACCAGAGCAGCCACCAAGCATGACTTCCCCAGCAGCAGGAAAATGATTGTAATTGAGTTCCTGCATGTCTAAAACTGAGGCACCATATTCTTTGAAAACATGCCATCTCATGGCCTCTATCTTTGAGCCCTGTGATTGCAAAGCTCCTGAGTTAAGGAGGAAAGGGAAAAGAAATAGCTAGAAATGAGTGGAGATTATGTGGTGGGGGGGATAAGGCAGGATCAGAGATGCTCTTAGCAGAGTCAAAGGTGTTCAAGCTCTCTTGGGGGTGGGTGAGGAGTGGGGCAGCAGTGTTTGCCATCTTTTTAGGAGTCAGGGCCAAAGCCACTGGTGTTTATTTGACAGTGACACTGCACTGCTCAACCAGAGTAGTACTTTTAAAAAAAAAAATTATTTCCCGTTGCAATTGTAATTACTGCTTATTAAGGAAAATTGGGGAATTTTACAAAGAATCAGTTTGTCACCCAAATGCTACCACTGTTAATCTTTTGGTGTTAAATGTTCCCCTAGACATACCTGTGCATAGATTTTTGGTGTGTTTACATAGCTGTCCTTCTGTATATAAAATTTTATGTCCCTTTTGTACTTAACATATAAACATTTTTTCCATGTTACAGTCTTAAAACAGAATTTTATGGTTGCAGCCTCTTCCATTGAGTTTCTGTAGCATTGTTTGCCTGGTTCCCAGAGCTCGAGGGAGGCTTGGGTTGTCTCCTGTTCTCCTGGCTCACACTTGCTATAAAGCTGTGTGAACTGATTGCTGGGCTCCCTGGGACTGCCTCTAACTGCTCCTGGGTAACTTAAGACTTGTAGGCTGGTGGGAGGAACCCCTAGAACCAACCTTCAACCCCAGGCTGTAATGCCCAGCCATAGGGCCAGAAATGAGTGACTGAGAAAGGCAAGCCTGAGCCAGCTTGGCTCTTCAGAGACTATGTGGCACATACCCCAGGCTGCCTTGCTTTCCCCACTGTTACCTAAACCCTTGACCAGATTGACAAACTCTAATTGGAGTAAGTTTTGTCCTGCTAGGCCCTGGCTTCTGGAGGGCAAGGATACTGGAGTCTCTGAGGCCCCAGCACCAGTCTGACAGAAGGCAGTTGTTTTCAGTAACCCATTGCCTGGAGGCTGCTGCTCTAGTTCAGCATCCTCAGAGCTGTAGGACCTGCTTCCTGCTCTTGCCTTGCCCTCTCTGAACCAGAGAAGAAAACCTCGGGTATGCCACATTGTCACATTGCGCATGGGACTCTGCAACAGTGGCAGAGGGAACATCCTAACTTGTGTGTGATAGGCCATGCATAGGCTCTTCTGACACAGATTGCGTAAGTGGGAAGAGACCCCCTCCTGGCCTGGCGGGAGGGCTGCTGCCATGTTCAGCTCTGCTGGGAGACATGAACAAGTTAGGTGAGCATGGCTGCCCTTGGAGTAGTCACTTCTGTCTCTGGCTTGCTTGCAACCGAGAGACTACCCACTCCCCAGACTTCAGCCTTGTGATGTGAGGAACAGCAGGCCGGGTGGGAAGCCAGGCAAGCAGGCTGTGGGGACAAGTTGGCTCAGCAGTTGATGTGGGTAAGAGAAGTAGGCACAGGATGCTGCCCGCGCTTTTTTTTTTTTTTTTTTTTGCGCTCAGGCAGCAGGGTGAGGAAAGAGGAAGTGGCACTCCTACAGGCTGGTAGGACACCACTTGAGCTGCCTGAGGAGTCCTGGCAAGACTACCAGAGCTTCAAGGGTCAATTACTTTGGCAGGGCCCACCTGTGGACAGGTTCAGTGAGTGTCCAGGCTGGAGTGCAGAGGCACGATCTCTGCTCACTGAAGTCAGTGGGAAATGTCTGATGCCGTTTTTCCAATCTTCCTGGAGAATGTGCAGGAAATGAAATTTACAGTGAGTTAATGGGTAGGAAAGGGGGTCTGAGGCCAGGTGTGGTGGCTCGCGCCTATAGTCCCAGCACTTTGGGAGGCTGAAGCCGGTGGATCACCTGAGGTTACGAGTTTGAGACCAAGCCTGGCCAACATGGTGAAACCCCATCTCTACTAAAAATACTGGGCATAGTGGTGTGTGCCTGTAATCCCAGCTATTCAGGAAGCCGAAGCAGAAAAATCGCTTGAACCTGGGAGGTGAAGGTTGCAGTGAACTGAGATTGCACCACTGCACTCCAGCCTGGGCAAGAAGAGCGAAACTCCGTCTCAAAACAAAAAACAAACAAAAAAACAGCCTAGGGGTGGGTTCTGAGAGCCTCTCAGTTAAGTTAATTATATAGGTTTTACCATGGGCTCTGTGACCTGTTAGATGTTATTCTTGGCTGCAATTTTGGGCTATCAGTTGCCTGGTAAGGTAATTCACCTCAATTATAAAGTAGGAGTAAATCAGGGAAGGCTCACGTAAAGCTGAGGTCATGAAGGTGGTTTGTCTTGTAATTCAACAGATACTTCCCAAGCACCTGAGCCTTGGTATGTTCTAGTTGACAGCACAGTTTTTTTTTTTTTTTTTTTTTGAGACGGAGTCTCACGGTCTTGCCCAGGCTGGAGTGCCGTGGCACCTCTGCTCACTGCGACCTCTACCTCCTGGGTTCAGGTGATCCTCTTACCTCAGCCTCCCATGTAGCTGAGACCAGGCATATATCACCATGCCTAGCTAATTTTTTGTATTTTTGGTAGAGATAGGGTTTTACCATGTCATTCAGGATGGTTTCAAACTCCTGAGCTTAATCAATCCGCCTGCCTCAGCCTCCCAAAGTCCTGGGATTACAGGCATGAGCCACTGTGCCCTGCAAAGATAATAGCATAGTCTTTTTGGAGAAGATGAAAAACTAAGCTGCTTATTAAACAGCAAGCCCTAGGGCCCTAACTTTTATCCAGCTAATTCTAGCTTTATAGAAATTTGCATTCAAATGTAAGTGAAAAAGTCATATTGCATATCTGTAATTCCAGCTACAGGCTAGGAGGACTGCTTGAACCCAACAGTTTAAGACTAGCCTGGGCAAAATAGTGAGACCCTGTCTCATTACCTTTTTTCTTTTGAGACTGAGTCTACTAGCATGACAGCTTATGTTGGAGTGTGAAAAAGAAAGAAAGAAAAAAAAAGACTGAGTCTTGCTCTGTCATCCAGGCTGGAGTGCAATATCACCATCTTAGCTCACTGCAACCTCTGCCTCCTGGGTTCAAGCAGTTCTTCTGCCTCAGTCTCCTGAGTAGCTGGGACTACAGGTGCATGCCATCATGCCCAGCTAGTTTTTGTATTTTTAGTAGAGACAGGGTTTCACCATATTAGCCAGGCCTGGCCTTACTTTTTTTTTTTTTTTTTTTTTTTTTTTTTTTTGAGACGGAGTTTTCGCTCTCGTTACCCAGGCCGGAGTGCAATGGCGCGATCTTGGCCCACCGCAACCTCCGCCTCCTGGGTTCAGGCAATTCTCCTGCCTCAGCCTCCTGAGTAGCTGGGATTACAGGCACGCGCCACCATGCCCAGCTAATTTTTTATATTTTTAGTAGAGACGGGGTTTCAGCATGTTGACCAGGATGGTCTCGATCTCTTGACCTCGTTATCCACCCGCCTCGGCCTCCCAAAGTGCTGGGATTACAGGCTTGAGCCACCGCACCCGGCTTTTTTGTTTTGTTTTTTAAGTGAAAGACCACCCTTCCAGTATCTCAGGCCCAGAGCCTACAAGTAGCGGAGGCTGGGCACAGTGGCTCATGCCTGTATTCCCAGAGAGGCTGAGGTGGGGGCATCACTTGCATCCAGGAGTTTGAGCCAGTCTGGGCAACACTGACCCTGTCTCTACAAAAATAAAAAGTAGCTAGGCACGGTGGCTCACACCTGTAATCCCAGCATTTTGGGAGGCTGAGGTGGGCAGATCACAAGGTCAAGAGATCAAAACCATCCTGGCCAACATGGTTAAACCTTGTCTCTACTAAAAATACAAAAATTAGCTGGGTATGGTGGCACGTGCCTGTAATCCCAGCTACTTGGGAGGCTGAGGCAGGAGAATCATTTGAACCTGGGAGTCAGAGGTTGCAGTGAGCCAAGATTGCGCCACTAGACTGCAGCCTGGTGACAGAGTGAGACTCCATAGCAAAAAAAAATTAAAAAGTTAGCAGGGTGTGGTGGTGCATACCTGTGGTCTCAGCTACTTGAAAGACTGAGGTGGGAGGATCACTTGAGCCCAGGAGGTCAAAGCTGCAGTGAGCTGTGGTCACACTACTGCACTCCATCCAGCCTGTGACAAGAGACCTCGTCTCAAAAAAGAAAAAAAGCTGGTGCAGTGGCTCTCACCTGTAACCCCAACACTTTAGGAGGCTGAGGCACGTGGATCACGAGAAGTCAGGTGTTCAAGACCAGCCTGGCCAATATGGTGAAACTCCATCTCTACTAAAAATACAAAAATTAGCTGGGTATGACAGCAGATGCCTGCAATCCCAGCTACTTGGGAAGCGGAGACAAGAGAACGGCTTGAACCCGGGAGGTGGAGGTTGCAGTGAGCCGAGACCATGCCACTGCTCTCCAGCCTGGGTGACAGAGTGAGACTCCATCTCAAAAAGATGGTAGAGACTTTTCTGTTTCCTGGGCAAAAAGTCTCTCACTGGTGCTCACCCAAGCTGAGAACTAGAGCAACTGCAAAGAAAACAGTCCTGATTATATGCAGGCTTGCAAGGTGGAGCTAAAACTAATCCACTGGAAGGTGACAAGAAACAGCAAAAGGTATCCTTAATCCAAGCTATACAGCAATTCACAGTTCACAAGGGCTCTTCTGTACACAACATTTAATAGGGAGGTGAGAGGGAACAACAAAGCAAAGGCAGAGTTGGGGCATCAGACCAGGGCAGGGCTGGAACTAGGGAGAAGCAACCAGTTAGCAGGCAGGCTGCTACAAGCAGCAAATGGAGAGCCCTCTCACCCAGCCAACTCCAGGAGCTTCTCTGGTCCCTTGTGCACTACCCTGAACCTTAGCCCAACAGCCGGCTCCTCCTCTCCAGCAAAGGACAGCAGGGCAGGACCTGAGTTGGTCTCTTCAGGGGCTGTCTTGACGATGGCTGTTTTAGTAGAAATGAGGCTGCCCAAAGGTTTCTACAAGGCACCTTGCATGGACTTTGGGGGTTGTTGAACACATGCCCTGACATCCATGCATTGGAGACCTGTATTTAAACATGGGCTAGCTGCCCATCCTGGCATCTTTGGCTAATACCCTTACCCTGGGTGCCCCTATCTGAGAATGATACTTTGGGCTGTTGAAGAGCCTGTCTGAGGAGCCTCACGTGGGTTTCCTGGTTAAGTTGTAAAGTCACTCTACCAGAGAGGTTATCACTGCAAAAGTCAGGACCTGGTGGGCTGGGCTCACCACACCCTTCCAGCTCTGACTGCCTGGTATAAATGTTCCTCTTGAACCTTTTTGTGGGCAAGGTGAATGCCGAGAGCACTGGGCTGTGGCTGGGGATAGGGCAGGCAGGATTTGCTCTTGGTCACACTGGAAGGATGCCCAAACCACACCCATACACTGGAGCAGTTCTGGGATACAGTGTCTGAATCCTCAGGGGCCATTGCTGTCTTGGCCCTGACTGTGCAAGGGAATCACGAACACAGAGACATCATCGTAGGACACCTGCCCTTCCCCTGTGAGACCGTCTTCCTTCCCCTGTGTGCTGTGTATCAGCATCTGGGCCAGCTTCAAGAACCTGTGAAGACCATCCTGCAGATAGACTTCAGGGGCAGGGCAAAGGGGCAAGGCCAGCCCTTAGAAGTCATAAGGTTGGATACTGGGGACCCAAGCATGCAGTCCAACTGTGGAGCAAGGAAGCAGCAAGCCTGGGCGGGCCATGGGCTGGACCACAGGAGTCTAAATCCAGGGATTTTTGGAACCCACAGTCTCCCCTTCTCCCCCAAGAAGCTTGAGACAGCCCTGATCCTGGCCAGCTGCCAGCTCATTGTCAGTGCTGTCTTCTCAGCCATAACTACTTGGGTTTGCTGCTGGCACCAACCCAGGCAGGTCCTCAGCAGCTACAGTACCTGTGTGGGTCCTCTTGGTTCCCAGGGAGGAAGCTCCGCACCAGCCATGCCACTTGCTCATTGGACAGGACATCCCAGAGTCCATCAGTCGCCATGACAACCACATCATCCTCCTGTAGCTCCAGCTGGTCCACATCCAGCACAGTCACCTACAAGTTAAGCCTGAGGATGCTGCATGCTCCCTTCCCTCCTCCCACCAGCCTCACTGTGCGTTTCTGGGCAGATGGAAGCTGGGTTGGACAGTGTTGCCCCCTCACCTGTGGGACAGACAGCAAGAAAGGCTTGAGCTGGATGTTTGTGTCCAGGACTCTGAGCTGATGGTCTCCCAAGCCCCGGGAGACAGCCAGTGTTCCTAGTAACCGAGCCTGAGGGAAAGTGAGGTGTGAGGTGATGGCAAACAGCGCCAGCAAATGCGCAAGTACCAGGCCCTAGCACTGCAGAGCACACAGGGAGAGGTGGACTGTGGCCACCTTTGGAAGCCTTGGACTGAGAGAGAAAATTCCTGGTCTCAGAGCAAACCCTGGGGCACCAGCCACAGCTACCAGCAAGAGGCAAAGAAGCTCCCACCTCTGTAGGTGATAATGAAGAGGGATTCTTGCGGGGAGCCAGGCACTGACCTGCCTACCCTGTCCATGGATCAGTGGGTACTTGAGATCCGATTTGTCCACACGTTTGTAGCTCCTACCAGGAGCAGAACCAGCATCAGCCCAAGCCCTGTGCCCCATCTCATCTTTCCCCAACTTAGGGCCCAGGTATCATACCCTCATGGTGCCCACCCTGCCAAGGTGGAGGGGGCTTCCCCAGGCCATACAGCTGAGCCTGGATCCCAGGGCTCTCCCTTCCCACCTGTCCCTCATCCGCACTCACCAGCCCCTCATGTGGTGATCCCTGAACAAAACCTTCTGTCCCAGGTCATCCCCCTTCAGCCGCCGAGGGAACTCCAGTCGGGTGAACTCGCCAGCCAGAAGCTCCGGGTAGACAAAGGCCTGGGGTGGGGAGGCTGTGCTCAGGTCACACTCCCTCTAGTGGCCCTGGACCCAGAAGTTGGGGCTTCACAGCCTCTGTGCTGCCAAGGGCACCTACCAGCTGCTGGATCCGCTGCCGCTCGGTCTCTGGGGTCAACTCGGAGCTCAGTGGCCGTATCTCATCTCTCCGCACCAAGATGGCCCTGGATGGGGTTGAAGAGAGAAAGAAGTCTAGGAGAGGGACTCTACCCTCACCAATGTCCACCCTCCTATCAGTCCCTCCTCCAACCATCGGGACCCAGCTCTGCCCATCACGATCCCTTAAAGTCCTCCATGACTGCCTAAAACCTGCAAGGGTAGAAGCTTAGCTCTTTAGCGGGGCACTTGAGGTCCCTGCTCTCCCCAGCAGCCACTGTCCACCCTCACACTCCACACATGCCAAGTACATACTTAGTTCAGCCAGCCAATCCCTCCTACTATCCCTCCACTTCCAGCCACCTTCCATTGTCCCCACTGCTGCTTGTGCCCTCCCCACCCCACCCTTGCCCACCCTCCAAGGGGTGACTCACTCACCTGCTATCCCCAGCATTGGCCACGTACAGCTTTCCCTGCAGGGACACAGCCACCAGGGCTGTGCAGCCGCCTACCTGGCCTGAGGCCTCCAGCTCCCGCCCGATCACCTCATCCTGGGGCAAACCGAGGCCACCTTAGCTGCTGCCTGTTCTGCCACCATACTACTTAGTCCCTCAAACCCCACCCTACCCTATAGTTCACTTCCACCAGGAGGCCTGATAGTCCCAGCCCAAAGTTCAGCCATGATCCTTGCAGTCAGAAGATCTAGACTAGGGAAGTGCTACTCAAAATAAGAAGAGGAACCAGCCCCTGCACCAAGGACTAACAGGGCATTCAATGAGATGATGCAGGTAAAAGTACCCAGCACATAGTAGATGCTGGATAAAAGAGGGGTTGCTGGGCGCGGTGGCTCAAGCCTGTAATCCCAGCACTTTGGGAGGCCGAGGTGGGTGGATCACAAGGTCAAGAGATCGAGACCATCCTGGTCAACAAGGTGAAACCCCGTCTCTACTAAAAATACAAAAAATGGCCGGGCGCGGTGGCTCAAGCCTGTAATCCCAGCACTTTGGGAGGCCGAGGCGGGTGGATCACGAAGTTGAGAGATCGAGACCATCCTGGTCAACATGGTGAAACCCCGTCTCTACTAAAAATACAAAAAATTAGCTGGGCATGGTGGCACGTGCCTGTAATCCCAGCTACTCAGGAGGCTGAGGCAGGAGAATTGCCTGAGCCCAGGAGGCGGAGGTTGCGGTGAGCCGAGATCGCGCCATTGCACTCCAGCCTGGGTAACAAGAGCAAAACTCCGTCTCGAAAAAAAAAAAAAGGGTTATGCTGAGAGTGATGGCTGTTAGTGACAACCCAACCAACCCAATCTCATCCTTCCAATCTCTGTATACTGCTGTATACTGTGATGACCACAATATACAGAGATGCCGTTCCCCGAGATCCCTAGGGGCAAAACCTCCACTTCTTCCCCAGCCAAAAGCCACACACTCACACATTCCTGAAAGGCACTCTCCAATGCCCCGATCACCAAGTCTTCTGCCTTGATGCCCTTTTCCTCCACAAACTGGGGGTCACTGGGGCAGATGCAGCGGCCACTGAGGTGCATGGGGGGCTGAGTGGCTACCAAGCCCTCTACAACAGCCTCCAGCTGCCGGCGCAAGCAGGAGTGCAGGGTGTTGGCAGCCAAGATGGCTGCTGCAGGACCTCCGTGCCCATCAAACAGTGCCCAGTAATGGCCCGTCAGGAACTGCACAGGAAAGGCTCAGTGTCAGGCTCTGACAACTTCCCCAGTTGTCCCCTGACCCAACCAGAACTAGGACATGGGGCAGCAGGGCAAGAACCTCAGTTTGCACGTCCTGGCCCCAGACTGTAGGAGGGATTCAGGCCAAGAACTCAGGCTACACTCACTTCCTCTGGACACAGGGTCAGCCACTCTTCTTCAGCCCCAAACTCACATCTCCGGATGCACAGCTTCCCACAGGCGGCTTGATCCTCATTGAATTCAGATTTCTCTGCATTGATAATCCTGAGGCCGATAAATCGTCAGCGGCCCTCCAGGGACACACCTATGTCCCTATGGGCACAGGGACCGGAGCCAGCACAGGGAGAGGACCCCTCCCTCTGGGGCAACAGCTCCCCAGTGCTGTCCCTAACACACACTTAGACAGCCACGATGTAAGCTTCCTAACTTTAGTGGCTCCATGATTAAGGTGAAAGTCAGGGCCCAACTCCTCTGAAGCCTACCTGCTGACCCAGGACTAGAAGGTAAGGGTGGGCTGCCCTTCCTGTTCCCTGCCCTGTCACAGCGCAAAGCCCTGTCCCATGCAGTACAGGTCACCCCACCAGGGTGAGATGGTGGAGGTGGGGGGCGGGGGGAATCGCCAAAGCCCCACATGCTGGAACTCTACCGAGTCTCCGGGCCTCATCTTGGAAGCCCCTGGGCTGCAGGTCGTTCCTGATCTCCTGTCATCTCTGAGGGGTAGGTCGGAATCCCAAGGGAAACGCTGGGTCGGGATGTTGGGGAAGTTGTCAGGGTTCAGAGATGAGGATAAGAAGGGGCTGTCCACAGGTGGTGGGGCTGTCACTCACTCAGCTTTCTAGGCCGGCACTGGACCCGAGACGGGCTCAGGCCGAGGCCGGGCCAGGGTTCGGGAGGGGCACTCACTCGGCGTAGCCTGCGTTCCAAGGTAGTGCGCGTCCTCGCGCGGGGCTGCGCACGGGCCGGGAGTCTGGGCGGCGCGAAGCGTCTGCCGCGCCGGGGCTGGAGCCGGAGCCGCGCAGGAAGCGGGGCCGCTGATAGGGGACTGGGCTGGCACGCGGCCCTGGCGGCCGCGGCGCGGGGAGCGGCTCCCCTGGCAGGAAGCGGCGCCGGAACCAGCCGGCGGACATGGTGCGGCGGCAGGGGGCTGCCAGCGGAGCGCGGGGCGCGAGGGCTGGGCCGCCCGCGGGAGGAGGAAGAGGGCCGGGGGCGGGGCGGGGCAGGGCAGGGCCGGGGGCGGGGCAGCGGCGGGCCGGGGACTGGGCTGGGGCGCGCGGGCGGGAGGCGAAGTCCCCGGGCCCCGACCTCCGCCCGGGAGCGCGTGCGCGGCTGGTTTGCTCAGCCGGGGGTCTACCCTCAACCCTCGCGACCGCTCGAGAAATCCCACGCTTGCATCAGCCCCATTTGACAGGCAGGAAAACCGAAGCCCGGAGAGGAGAAGTCGCCCGCCCGGCGTCCCACAGTTCACCCACGCGTGGGTCACCGGCGGTTGAGAGGAAAAGTCCCCCACACCCCGCGGGCCAGCGTCGCGCAGAGCCTCGGGCCTCCTCCTGCTGGGCGAGGACCTGACGAAGGGGAAGATGGGGACAGGATGTGGTGGGAGGTGTCAGACGCGCACCTTGAGTGTCTTTGAGCACAGGGTCCTTCAGGCCGCCTCCAACCCTCTCCACCCCGGCCTGCCACCCTCCACCCCAGACGGGCTTAGTGGTCACCCTGGCTTTCCCCATCCTGAGAAGCTGCTACCACCCTCGAGGACACTCTTCCAAATGGCTGTCCCTGCAATCAAGATGTCCTCGCGCAATAGACAGCAGGATCCTCACTGGACTGTGAGTCACGGACAAGAGAAATCTTTATGTGTATAAAGGGAAATCCTTGGTCCCTCAAAGGCTCCAGCTGGTCCGAGTTCAGACCTGGGACGGAGGGAAGTGAAAGACAAAGAACCATCTTGCGGTCTCTCAGTCACTGGCTAGCTGTCACGGGTGGGGCGGGGGAGTCAGCAGCAGTGTCCCCTTCACATCTACGAGTTAACAGAGCGCTTCCTCACCCATCTGTCATCCCAGCACTTTGGGAGGCTGAGGCTGGCAGCTCACCTGAGGTCAGGAGTTCGAGACCAGTCTGGCCAACATGGTGAAACCCCGTCTCTACTGAAAATACAAAAATTAGCCTGGCATAATAGTGTGCACCTGTAATCCCAGCTACTTGGGAGGCTGAGGCACAAGAATTGCTTGAACCCAGGAGGTAGAGGTTGCAGTGAGCCGAGATCAACCCACTGCACTCCAGCCTGGGTAATACAGCAAGACTCAGTCTCAAAAGAAAACAAAACAAAAAAAAGAGTGTTACTTCACATGGAGGATTCTGAGGCCCACAGAGGAGAAGTCTTGGACACCCAGGGCTGTGCTATTTCCATTATGACAATGCAGCTGACTCAATCCTCACCCCCAGGGCACTTCTCTTCCCCTTTCCTCCTCCAGGAAGCCTGGGCTTGCCAACTGATTACAACCTCTGATTACAGGCATGAGCCACTCCACAGCCTAGTGCCCCCATAGGAGCTACATGAGGAGTCCACCTTCACCTCCACTCCCTAGCCCAGGCAGATGCTCAGTAGGCCCCACTTCCTCCCAGCAGCTAGCCCTGCCCCAGTGGGAGTTCCTCTGGCCCAAGAAGGAAGATTCAGTTCCAGAGCAGCCTGCGGGCTGATTGACCGAACCCACACTGTGTACTGGGCCCACACTGGGCACAGGAGCACAGTGCTAATGGAGACAAGCCAGGCCTGTGCCCACCAAGCCCCCTGCAGTGAGGGTAGCAGTTCTGGTGGTTGCTGCTTCATCCAGCTGGCAAGGGGATGGGGTGACATTAGAGAAGTTTCCCAGAGGACCTCTGAGCTGAGAACTGTCACTGGGACAGAACAGAAATGTGCCAGGGTGGGGCAGGCCCAATTCAGTCTGTGGGGCCACTTCCTCACCCTTGCCAGTCAATGCCTCAGAGAATTTTAAAGTCTAAAATTGGAAGAAACGAACTGCACGCACTCTATTCCCAACCCACCTCTGGGTGGGGGAAAGTCTTGTCCTAAAGTATTTTCACAGAAGCTCTAGGCAACCAGATGTCATAGGCAGTCTGTTGCCCAGCTTAGCCATTTTCTGTTTTCAGAGCCATGTGGAGCCCCATGGCAATCCCATCCTCTCTGTTCCAAGGTGGTCTGAGTGTTCCTTCAGTGTTACCAGGCTCTTCTGGCTTCCAGGGATCCTGAGTACCTCAGTCGTGCCTGGATCTTAAGCCTATGTCTGTTGGTTTACTCCCTCATTTTGCCAAAGTGCATCCTCCAACAACTTTCCAAGAAAGGATGACTGGGAGGTTCTTTCCTGAGAGATATTATTTATCTATCTTTTTCGGTGAATGGTCTATTTGTATCCTTTGCCCTACTTTCTACTGGACCATTGGTCTTTTTCTTACTAACTTATGAGAGCTCTTTATATATTAGAGAAATCAGCTCTTTATTTTGAAGTGAGTTACAAGGTATGCTGTTTGTAACAAGTTACAGTTTGTTATTTGTGTTTTGGCTGTGATGGTGGCTTTTTCCATACAGACTTTATTTTTAATGCAAATGGATTATTGATCTTTCTATAAAGGAAAATAAAAATTTCAGGACCCCCAAATTCATTACGCTAAAAGGAGAGTTGGCCAGGTGTGGTGGTGCACGCTGGTAATCCCTGCACTTTAGGAGGCCGAGACAGGTGGATCATGAGGTCAAGAGATTGAGACCATCCTGGCCAACATGGTGAAACCCCGTCTCTACTAAAAATACAAAAAATTAGCTGGCAGTGGTAGCCAGCACCTGCAGTCCCAGCTACTTGAGAGCCTAAGACAGGTGAATGGCTGGAGCCTGGGAGGCAGAGGTTACAGTGAGCCAAGATTGCGCCACTGCACTCCACCCTGGCAACAGAGCAAGACACTGTCTCAAAAATAAAATAGTAATAATAATAAAGGGAGAGTTAAATTTGGAGACTAAATCACGCAACACTGGCATTCCTTTTTTTTTTTTTTGAGATGGAGCCTTGATCTGTTCCCCGGGCTGGAGTGCAGTGGCCTGATCTCTGCTTACTGCAACCTGCACTTCCTGGGTTCAAGCGATTCTCCTGCCTCAGCCTCCCGAGTAGCTGGGATTACAGGTGTCCGCCACCACACCGGCTAATTTTTGTATTTTTAGTAGACACGGGACTTCAACATATTGGTCAGGCTGGTCTTGAACTCCGAACCTCAGGAGATCCACCCACCTCAGCCTCCCAAAGTGTTGGGATTACAGGCGTGAGCCATGAGCCATCGCACTGGCCTTTTTTTTTAAATTCTGGCAACACGTCATTCTAAGCTGCAAAACTATGTTCTCCAACACTGTCATTCTTTTCCCAAAAGGATACCTGTTACCTTGCAACCTTGTGTCAAAACATTCTGCATTAGTCAGATCCCCAGAAAAATGGAAAAAGCCTCATGCATCTCCAGGTGACTGCCCTCACAAATTGCTCATCAGTAAATCCTTTGCCAGCCCCTAAACCTTTCAGGAAGTATATCCTCCCATAAACAAGGACATGTCAATTGCAACTTTAGGTCTGGAACCTAACCCTACCTTCTAAAGCCAAAGTCTGTTAAATTTCACAGTGACAATGTCAGTTACAAGTTTATTGGCCCAGGTGCAGAACGAGGATAGGATGAGATCAATTATTCCTCCATCTACCCCGAGGCCTCTGCAAAATTGGCTCTTCCTTTACTGCCTGTTTTTCAAGTGTTCACCCTATCTTCCATATACCCTAGATTTACGGGACAGTAATTAACAGTCCCACAAAAACATAACCATTTGCCTCACTGCCTTCTCCACTTTAAAGAAATGTACAAATACTGAGCCTCCTGAAAACTTCTTGGGAGAGCACAGGCCACAGACATTTCTGTGATTTGTGTTGCTTTCCTGGGCACGCTCGAGCTCTGGCTCAATAAATTTCGATTGATTGAAGCTCTTGCCTCTGTCTCTTATTGAGGTTAAGATATTCTCTCTTTTCTATAGCCTAATTTAGAAAGTGAAAGGTTTTCTTTTACGGTTTCTGTGTTTGGTGACACAGTTTCCTCCACTCCAAGATCCTACAACCTGTTCCCTTTGTTTCTTCAGTATTTTAAAAATTTTTTAGAGAGGGTCTCACTCTGTTACCCAAACTGGAATGCAGTGGTGTGATCATGGCTCACTGCAGCCCTGAACTCTGGGGCTCAGATGATCCTCCTGCCTTACTGTCCCAAGTAGCTGGGACTGCAGACATGTGGGACTGTGCCTGGCTAACACATATCTATCTACAGATATGTATATGTAGAGATGGGGTCTTGCCTTGTTGACTAGGCTGGTCTTGCATTCCTGGCCTCAAGCAGTTCTCCTGCCTCAGCCTCCCTAGTAGATGGGACTACAGGTGTGCATCACCATGCCTGACTAATTTAAAAAGATTTTTTGTAGGGATGGAGTCCCACCATGTTGTTGCCCAGGCTGGTCTCAAAGTTCTAGGCTCAAGAGATTCTCCCACCCTGGCCTCCTAAAGTGTTGGGATTACAGCCTAAGCCACTGCACCTGGCCCCCAACTCTCAAATAAAGAAAACTATGATTCTTGGACACACTCACTACCATGTGACCTTGATCAAATCACTTCACCTCTCCAAACCTCAGAGTCTTTATCACTAAGATGGAAACAGTAACACCTACTCCAGGGGCTGTCATGAGGATTAAATAAATGTGCCCAGTAGGTAGTTAGTATACAACACAAAGCCTCTAATGGTTCATTCATACATTTGCTTATTAATTTTTTTTGAGATGGAGTCTTGCTCTGTCATCCAGGCTGGAGTGCAGGTGGTGCAATCTCGGCTCATTGCAGCCTCTGCCTCTTGGGTTCCAGCAATTCTCCTCTTCTGCCTCAGCCTCCTGGGTAGCTGGCATTACAGGTGCACGCCACCATGCCCAGATAATTTTTGTATTTTTAGCAAAGACAGGTTTTCATCATGTTGGCCAGGCTGGTCTTGAACTCCTGACCTCAGATGATCCACCCACCTTGGCCTCCCAAAGTGCTGGGATTACAGGCATGAGCCACCATGCCCAGCCTACATTTGCTTATTTTGCAATTATTGGCCACCCGACAATGTTGGGTACTGTTTTAGGCACTGGGGATACAGCAAGGGCAGACACCTAACTATTGGTGGAGGGAAGAC